TTGAATTCAAACGAATGCCCTTCGGTCTTAAAAATGCCCCTTCGACTTTCCAGCGAGTCATGAATAACGTTCTCCGAGGCTTACAGAACGAAACTTGTTTAGTTTACCTCGATGATATAATCATTTTCAGCACTTCTCTAACAGAACACATTCAACGACTTCGTAACGTCTTTGAGCGCCTCAGACAGTCAAACTTCAAAATCCAGCTAGATAAGTCTGAATTCTTACACAAAGAAGTTGCATATCTTGGACATAAAATCACTAACGATGGAGTCAAACCCAACCCCGACAAAGTCGAAGCTGTAAGACATTTTCCAATCCCGAAAACACAAAAGGATATAAAATCTTTCTTAGGCTTAGCCGGTTATTATCGCCGATTTATCAAGGATTTTGCCAAAATCACAAAGCCCTTGACCTCCTGCCTAAAAAAAGGTGCAAAGGTCATTCATAATGAACCTTTCATAAAATCATTCAATCATTTGAAAGAACTTCTTATAAATGCACCTATCCTGAAATACCCTGATTTCGAAAATCCCTTTGTACTTTCCACAGACGCCTCAAATTTCGCCCTTGGAGCCGTCTTGTCACAAGGAAATCCACCTCACGATCAACCAATTGCTTTTGCGTCTAGAACACTCAATGAAACCGAACAAAGGTATTCCACAATAGAAAAAGAACTTTTGGCTATTGTTTGGGCCTGTAAATATTTCCGACCCTATCTATACGGTCAAAAATTTAAAATATATACTGACCACAGACCTTTAGTCTGGCTTTTTAACGTGAAAGAGCCAGGATCCAAACTAATAAGATGGCGCCTCAAGCTTGAAGAGTACGATTATGAGATTATTTATAAAAAAGGCAACCAAAATGCAAACGCCGATGCACTTTCTCGTATATCCTTACATGCTATTGAATCTGAATCTCTCATTAATCTTCCCGGAAACATTGATGAAGATATCAATCAATTTTTAAACGAAAATCTCGATCCACGTTTCGATCCCAATAGCGTCACAGATGAAGCAGTGATAGAAACCTTACGAGAAATCGAAGATATTCCAAAAACTCCTGAAGTTCCTAAAGTGAATATCGTATCGAACGTTCAAATTCGAACACCAGTAAATTTCGAAAGTCGTCCTTCCACAAGTAAAGCCAACTATCAAGCCCCTATCATAATTGATCCAAAAAGAAACTGTACCCATCTTCGGATCCTACCTACTAGGAGTGCCCGTTGATTGTAAAGCCAAAATACAATCAACCACCCTCGAGAGCTTCAAGCCAAGTCGACTCTCTCTCAAAGAAGTCAATTTACCGATATTGGACCTATCATTGATTAACCATAACCAATCAATGCCCTACGACCTACCTTCATTGGATTTGAACATCATTAACGTCAAGACATCCAAAGACATAAAAGAAAAACTTCATGAACAAAAGAAGAAACTTGAAGAAATGTCAACCACGACGATTTATTCAAATCGCCTCAGTCTCTGGACAATATTATTATACTTAATCATTATATTAATTTTAATTTACTATTTCAGCTTATTGTGCATTAAGAAAATTCCAAAGTTCCCAAAAAGTGAAAGTGATGAAGTTGAAGGCATTTTTTTAATTATTTTTGTATTTTTGCGAAATCACGTTTTTTATTTTTCAGTACGTGCTTTCAACTTACACGGGAGGAGTTACATTCTCATAAACTTAAGAGTTCAGCAGTTTGTTACTTTGTTTTCAGAACCCGACCGACCGTTGCATTTCTTGGGAACAGCTTTGTCAGCAAAGCTAATAATTATAAATATTAATTTTACTTAGGTTTAAGCCAGTTGTATTGTAACCACCATTGAAAATAAAAAAATTTAAAAACTAACTCTCAAAATTCGAGTTTTTAATTACGGATAGACCAAGTACATCTGAAGAGTAGATCTGGGTTTTTGGTCTTACGCTACCACGAAAATCATCGGTTAAAAATGGACAGTGGTCAGTGATGATTACTCTACAGAAGATTCGAAGAAAAGAAAAATGGATGAATTTTTTGGAAACAATAAGAGAAGTAACAGAACTCCTCCTAGAAATAAAAAAGATGAAAAGTTAGAAGAAATGCTAGCGTTAATGAAGAAAATGTCTGCAGATCAAAAAGAGCTTAAAGAGGAACTCAAACAAATTAAGGATCAACAATCGATGTTTAATGAAGAACTCTTGAAATTAAAAGGAGAGAACGAAGTATTAAGAAGGAAAAATCAAGAAATTAAAAGAGAGAATACAGAAATAAAAACCGAATTGCAAGAGGTGAGAAAAACAATAGAAATTATAGATATGGAGAGAAGAAAAAAGAATGTAGTGATAAATGGATTAAAATTTGATAACAATGAGCCGGCAGTACTGGTAGAAGATATGAAGGCATTTTTGAACTAACAATTGAAAGTTAATATTACACCTAAAACAGTTACCAGGATAGCAGAGAGAACGTGGATAATAGAACTACAAAATGTAGTGGATAAGAGAAAAATCATGGAAAATAAACCAAAACTAAAGGACATGAGAGGAGAAAGAGTTTTTATAAATAATGATTTGACCAAGCAGGAAAGGGAAAAACAAAAAGAAATAAGAATATTTGCAAATCAGGAAAGGCAAAAAGGAAAAGAAGTATAAAGATAGGATTCAATAAGGTAAAGGTAAATGCAGAGGAGTGGAGATGGGATAAAGAAATAAATAAATTAAAAAAGACAGGAAAAACCTTATCAAAAAACTGAATAGCTAAACGAACAATACAAAGAATGGGGAAAACAACACAGCAATGGAATGGACTATGAATAAGGAAGTTAGTAATAACAAGAAAACTGAGGAAATATGTAAAATGGGTACGTGGAATATCAGAAGTATGTTCGGGAAAGAAAAAGAACTAGAAGAAGAATTCGAAAACACAGACTTGAAACTGCTAGCCATAACAGAAACAAAGAAGAAGGGACAAGGAATGATAAATGTGGATATTGGCCACATACTTGTGTACAGTGGAATTAAGAAAGAAGAAAGAGCAGCAGCGGGTGTTGCATGCATAATTCACAAAGACGAGACAAGAAAAATCAGTTGAAAACTAAGTGAAATATTAAAATTTTTGTTGATCGAATTGCACCTTTTTATATCCAAAGTTAGGTAATTTTTGAAGAAGTCCGGCATTTTGAATTTTTTCTCAAATATCAAAAGTTTCACTTTGATTCGTTAGCTTATTCAGTTCTCTTTCAAACAAGCTAGAACAAAAGGAAATTGGTTAACAAAAAAAAGTTACAACACAAGAACAAAATTCCGGTTTTTTTTTGACCACCTATTTGAAAGCATTGAACTCACAGGAAAACTCGAAAATGTGTCTGTAATCGTTTGATTTTTGTGTTTTGTACAAATGATTTCGACGTTTCGGAGCACATTTGATTAGGAAAATAGTTAGAATTTTTTTTTCTTTTCTTATAACCTCAGTTATCATCAATTTTTATTGTGTTTAAAAAAAAAACATAATCTGTGTTTACTAAATAAATTCGTGTTTTTGTTTGTTATTTTCTATTTATGAGCATTTTCACTCATCTTCCGAAAACCCCTTATTTTATGTTAGTCGAGCAACCACGGTACGTGATTTCTAATTACAATAACTACCAATGACCTGTCGTCGACATTGACCTTCCATGGGTTTCAGTTCCATGTCCGTACAAATTAATAATTTAATAATTCGTTCAACTTGTAATGGAATGTTATTTAAATGTAACGTGATCGACGGTCTTCCTGCAACCCATGAACTTTTTTTGGAAGACGAGTGAGTTTAATTTACCAAAGGGAGATGCCCTATTATCCCAGATACGACAATATTTTATACTTAAGCCTGTTTTATAGAGGAAATAAAATAAGAAATAACATGGGAAATAGGAAAAATAAGAAATAAGGCGTTTATACAGAAAAATATATAATAAAATTAAAATTATTTTGAACCCCTCAGCGCACGCCTAAACTGTCATCGGTCTAATCTAATCGACGTCGTGACATGCGCAAATAGCATGTTCACATAAAATAAAATAAGAAGTTAAAAGTTAACTAACTTTCTGTTTCTGCTTATCTTATTTTATTTTTGTGTATACACGCCACCGTGGGTCCCCATAAGGCAGTCTTTTAATTTTATTTTATTTCTTATTTTATGTCAGTACACTGTTAGTGTGAGCCACATTCATTGTACAGCCAAACTAACACTGAAAATGCACATTGCACAGAAAAGTACGAAAAAAAATTAATTTTACACAAATACAACCAAAAACTAATCAAAACAAACAACCCCCAATTTTTTTTTCCATTCACGCCTCTAGAAAGAAAAGGATAGATATAAATTTAACAGTGCTGCGTATGTTAAGGGCCTCTGAACGTTTTGGAAGATATTTTAACTTATTCACTGTTCATTGTTCATATGTAGTAATCTTTCGTTCCATACTCATTAAAACGGTTTAAAACTATTGACATTTACCGCCAAAATTCAAAGCACTCCAAGTTCACTCGCGCCCTGTACGAAATTTTGGGGAACTTGACTTGATATTTGCTGCCATTGTTAACGATCATGTTACTTATTTCTATGAAGTATTAAATGTTTCCTAGTTTGCTTTTCGTTTGAATTGAGAAAAGCATCCGGAAACTCTTAGTAGAACACCCTTTAGAAGCCAAAAAAGTAAAAATAAGAAACATAAAAGAATTTGAAAATAAATATTTCCAACTATCCTTAATGGTCATTCTATGATGTAGGTATATATTTTGCCGCTATTAATATAGAAGTGTCAGATAACTATCACTTGTAACAAGGAGTATTTAATATAGAAGCTATACAGAATTGTTTTCATTACAAGTTTTTGGATGTAGAAATAGTAGGTATGGTATTTTAATGTACTAATGCTTAAATAGACTCGAAACCTAATTTACTCTTGAGGCTAGAACCTTCTGTAGTCTCAAGCTCAAAAACGATATTTTCATAGATTGTATATCTACTTACTAATTTGGATATGTCGTCGTTCCTCTTGAGGCACCGTTTCTTTGTCAACACAAACCATAACACCAGGTTGTCCATTAAAATGGTCCACGCAAAAATCATCGTATTCAAATAACGGTACCAACTGTCCAAACATTGGATAATGAATCGTGGCGTTTTCGAAAAACGTTATATTATCGTCAATAATAACTCCAGGAAACGCGTATTGACGTTCAAAATCGCACGACTTGTTGAAAAGTATTTCAAATCCATCGGAAACTAAAACTGGATGGGACATGGATACGTTGGCAGAACCGCAACTTAATTCTCCCGTCGTTTCCTGGATGATCATAACTTCATTTTGATGGCAGCATTTTTTGATGCAACGTTGCGAATCACACACGCCGGGCGAACAAATTACTAATTCAATAACAATTATTATTGCCAAACAGGCTCTGTAAAAAATCATTGTTGATTTGCTGCCGAAATACAACTAAAGATTAACGCGAAAATAATAATGGTAACATTGGTGGCAGTTTGTATCTCCGTATGATTAAGAGGAAAACCTCATTAATATTGGTACCGACCGCAACTTTAGAAGATAACTATTATTCATAATAAAAAGTTTATTTTGCTTGTATCTGCGAAATATAAGTGCTGATAATAATATGTATTTTAAACAAATTAGACGAGGTGGTGACTCAATCGGATTGGAGTTCAGAAGAACAAGACTTAGCATAATAGGTATAGACAGGTAAAGTAAAAATTTTTTTGTATATTTCTTAAAATTTTACTTTCACATTTCTATAACTTAAATTTGAAACAATAATTTGTTGATACTTGGTATGCATTTGTAACTGAAACGACGCACGAGAGTTTTTCTCAATTCCAAATAGTTCAAGTCACCGTTCGCAAGAAATGTTGACTGCTTTATTAAGTTACGTTTTAGACTTCTGGAATTAATGTTATAAAATATTGTTACGAAATTTCATTGGTGCAGAGAAGCCAACACTACTGTTAGGACCGCCGAGCGCGATTATCCAGGAATCAGCAGTTTCTATTGTGTGTGTGATTGAAATAAACAAGAATTTACGAGATTCTTCTCGATGAAATGGTTTTGAATATAAAGCGCAGGTAAACGTAATATATGTATATAGGAATACCGATTCCTCTGAATCCTCTGGCCGAACTTTCACAAACATTTCATCCTGGATATTTATACACAATAACAAAATAAACTTACCAATAGATACTATAAGGCGCTGACGCCGTTGGATAGCACTTTCATCAAGCAAACAAATTAAGACACCCTCTCTTCCATTGAGGTGATCGGCGCAATAGTCATGAATCCCTTGTAAATGTTCCTGCCCCCAAACGGTTTCGGGAACGAGAAGGGTACCATTTTCGAAAAAAGTCAAATTGTGTTCATCTAGGAACGCATTGGTAGGAAATTGTTGCCAATTACACAACGACTCTCTATAAATTATACCAAAACCTTTATCATGCAGGACTGGATGATGCAAAGTCTCATTGACCAAGTTACAGAAACTACCCGTTTTATTTTTAGTCAGCACGTAGTTTTTATCGCAGCATTTCCGTATACAAGTTTTGGCATAGCAAATTGAATAATCATCCTGCGAAAGTACCACTTTAGAGGTCACGGCCATAACGAGAAAAACGAACCACATTTTTTGATCAGAATTTATGCCTATTTTCCGATAAATGACAAATAAACGCACTGGACTACTGGACTGGGGGCTTTTTGTTCGTTGTGGCAAAATTAGATGTTTATAGAATTGTACCGCAAAATAGGAAGTGGATAGATAATAGCGAACCGCGAAATTATGCTTTTTCTATTTGTGTAATGTCTTTGAGAGAAATATGTTTGGGGCATACCTCCGCTATTGAAAAGTTCATCAAAAAAATAATAATAATGTAAGTGTAAATCAGCAACAAAACTTTGATCAGAATCCAGTTGTGGGCCAAATATTAAATCTAAATTTGTTAAGCTTCTGCAATTGTATGCCCACATCCACTGTATGCCTAGTAAGTTAGTAACTATACCCGTTTTTCGATTCAGCGAGAAGCCTAAATTATTGAAATTCTATCCAAATAGATATGTGAAAATATTGTTACAACTGCCAGCTTTACGGGGGTGACATGGGGGGTTTGTAGCTTTGGGGGTCGATGGAGAGAAACTCGCTCAAGTTATATAAAAAGAAAAAGTGTATATGTATATTTTTCAAAATATGCCCTTACATGTACGCTAGTCCTATAAGGTGCATGACCCTTCGAACACTGGGGCCCTTATGGGGAGCCACACGTCAACGCTGCTTGGGGGACTGTCAATTAGTTATCGTCACCCTTATGCCTTGTCCAGAGGGGCTTTTCCAACGAGAGGTACTTGCACTGGGGAGACTTAATTCCAGAGGGGCTTTCCCAACGAGAGGTCGTTGCACTGGTTTAAGTCTGCCTGTGGCTTGGCTTGGCCAACTATTTATATCAATTTATTGCTGAATCGCAATAAACATCCGATCGAATCGGCAATTAAATTAATAAGGTTGAATACCGTGTCCTCCTTTCCTAAGCAGCTAGTTGACATATGCCCCCCCCTCCTTGAAGCATTGGACCCCAATGCTTGGAAGAGACATTTAAAACAAAATATATAAAAATACCATAATAATGTCAAAAAATACAATAATATCTTGATTCTAAAAATATCCCTTTTTTACAATAATAGCCTAGAAATAAAATTAAAAATTAAAATTAACAAAAGTTTTTATGGTGGGATGGGTCAGGGTGCATTATTATTCAGTTTACTACAAAATAAAAAATATCTTACAACTAAGAAATTTCATCAACTTCACAGCTTCAGCCATGGGTTTTTTTCTTCTGGTCCGGTCCTGTTTTCTGTATTGTGGGTCTGTTCTGGTTCCAAATACTTCTTGGTGGGTCAGCTAGATCGTGGGGTGTTAACGGTCCCACGGTCTTAGTGTCGTTTCCTGGTTTGTTATGCTTCTTTCTTGTTCATTGTTCTGTATTCTGTCTTTCAAGTGGATTGGTTCTGGCTCCAAGTACTTCCTGGTGATTTGGTCATCTGGGTCGTGGGTTTGTGCGTTCCCACGGCCCAAGTAATCCTTGATCATTTCTTTTGTGAGAATGGTGGAAATGGTACTATGGTCTGTATACTTTTGGTCCATACCCATTTGTTTCTTCTGGTTTGAAGTTCCTAGCCCCTGCTCAGACCAGAGCTAGGTCCTTCTATTACAATGACTTCCATCGAATTCGTTTTGTGGTTCATCCCTGACTAATGGTTTTGTATATACAGGCAAAAAAAAAAAAGTTTAACATACAAAAAAAAAGCTTATTCCCGAGCTTATTCCTATAATTAGTTTAATTATGACCCACAAGTGGGACACCAAATTTCATCATTTGGTTATTTGTTGATCATGGCTCCAACAGGTAAGTCTAGTCCAACTTGTTTTTTGTATACCCATATGCCTTCTTTTTGCAGCTCGTACTTTTCTGTTTACTCTATTTAATGTCTTACTCTATTTTTTCATCCTATCTCCACTTCCTATTTCCCTACTTCATAGTTTTGCTTATGTTTTATCTGTACAATCAGTCTCCTTCATCCTCGTTTTCTGCTTCACTGCTTCCAATTTCCTCTTCAATTTTTTCTTCGTCGTCTTCATCCTCATCAACTGTAGATTCTGCGTTTTCAGCTATATCTGTCTCATCTGCCCTTTCTTCAATAAGCGCAGCTTCTGTCCATGGATCGTGGTAGGGTAACATCCTACTCACGTGGACCGTATCCTTTCTTCTGGTTCCAATCTTTTGTACCTCGTAATTCACTTCTCCCATTTTTCTAATTACTTTATATGGTCCAAACCATTTTAAGAGTAATTTTTCGCTTCTTCCAACCTTTCTAACTGGTATGAACACCTTAACTTTGTCTCCAACTACGAAATCTAATTCTCTATGCCGTTCGTCAAAACGTCCCTTATCTTTTCCTTGTCTTTTTCGTATATTTTCTACTGCTATTATGGCTCTTATTAAGAGTGCCTTTTCTCTAATTTGCAGAGCGTGCGTTTCGTTGTCAGCGTCCAATAATGCAGCTTCTGCTGGTAGTGTGGGTTCCCTTGCATATGTTAACATAAATGGGCTAAATCTCGTTGTGTCCTGTATTGCTGTATTATACGCAAATGTTATAAATGGTCCGTTTGCTGTGTGTTACAATACATGGATAACATGTCAGCTATTGTCTTATTTAGGAGACCATTACTACAAGGATGGTATGCGGTTGTAAGCTGGCTTTTTACTCCCATTAATTTTCCTAATTCCCTTACTAATTCCGATTGAAAGACTTTTCCTCTGTCGCTGTGCAGATTTCTTAGCATCCCTTGTATCAAGAATACTTTTTCCAGTAAAAAATTTGCAACTGGTCCGGCTCTTCCATTCGGTAGGGCGGCTGTGATGGCATATTGTGAGGCGTAATCGGTAACTACAACTATCATTGTTTTCCCTTTACTGTTTCTTTTAAATGAGCCTAGAAGATCAATTCCGATTTTGTCGAAAATTATTCCTACCGGTATTGGTTGTAACATCCCTGGCGTTTTTCTGTAAGGTTGCCCCTTTCTAGCTTGGCAATCTGGGCATCCTTTAACGTACTTTTCGATGTCCTTTAGCATTCCGTCCCAAAAAAATCTGTTTTTAATTTTGTCCATTGTTTTGCTCAGTCCCAAGTGTCCACTTGTCGATGATGCATGTAGCTCCCACATAATTTCTTTTCTCATTGATTTTGGTACTACTAATACTTTTTCTAAGCCGTTTTATGTCTTATTTATTTATAGAGTAAGTCTTTTCCTAAAATTTTTTGCTCTTCTTCTGATGCCAATATTAATTTCTGGGTCGTCTAGTTTTCTTATAGCTCTGAATATTTGTTTTAGACTTGAGTCTTTCTCCTGTAATGTAGCCATTTGCACTGATTTTAGTGTGAATGTGGGAAGCTCCTCTTGTTCTTCTTTTTCCTGGGATTCTGGTTGAAGCACTGGATTGCGGGACATGCAGTCGGCGTCGCGTTTAGCCTTTTTTATATACAACCGTGTAATCGAATTCTTCAAGTTTTGGTGCCCACCTGGCAAAGCGTCTGTTGCTTTCCTTAATGGAGTCCATCCAGCAAAGAGCATGGTGGTCAGTGACGATTTTTACTGGTCTTCCGTAAATTAAGTGTCTCAGATAGCTCAATGCCCACACTACGCCTAAGAGTTCTAATTCACTAATTGAATAGTTTTTTTCGCTATTTGAAAGACTTCTGCTTATGTAGGCTATTGGATGTGCTTCTCTCTTGTCGTCTTCTTGTAAAAGTACTGCCCCCATTCCACATGTTGCTGCGTCGGTGTGCAAACTGGTATCTTTATTTGGATTGAAATGCTGTAGCACAGGGGCAGAAACCAGTTTTTCTTTAAGGATGTTAAATGCTTTGTTTTATTCAGAACCCCATTTGAACCCTATGTTCTTTCTTGTAATTTCATGTAGCGGTCTTGCTATTGATGCGAAGTTATGTATAAATTTTCTATAAAAATTACATAATCCTAGAAAGCTTCGTACATCTTTAATTTTCTTTGGCGTCGGGAACCCTTTTATGCAAATTATTTTTTCTTCATCTGGTAATATGCCTAGCTACTTTTATTTGAATCCTAGTATTTTGATTTCTTTTTTCAAATATTCGCATTTGCTTGGTTTTAGAGTAAGGTTAGCTTGTCGCAATCGCTCAAAAACTTTCTTTAGTTTGCTCAAGTGTTTTTCGAATGTTTGTGAGAATATAATGATGTCGTCTAGGTAGATTAGCACTTCCTTCCATTTCATATCGCAAAAACTTGGTCTGCTAGTTCTTGGAAAGTGGCTGGAGCGTTGCATAATCCGAAACTTAAAACATTAAATTCGTAAGTCCCATGTCCTTGCGCCACGAAGGCAGTGTATTGCTTGGACTTCTCTTCGACTGGAACTTGCCAATATCCGGAAAACATATCGAGTGTGCTGAACCATTTTGCATTGCCCAAGTATGACAAAACGTCATCGATCTGCGGTAGTGGGTATGTTGATTTTTTTGTTACTGTGTTAAACTTTCTGTAATCTACACAAAATCTTGTTTTTCCATCTTTTTTCTTAACTAGCACTACAGGGCTAGCCCATGGAGAGTGGCAAGGCCGAATTATTTCGCTATCCAGCATTTTCTGGATTTGTTCGTCAATAATCTGTCTTTCTTTTTGTGAGACTCTGTATGGGCGGCTCTTTATTGGGCGAGCCTCTCCGACGTCTATTATGTGTTCTGTTAAGTTTGTCTTTCCCATATGTTTTGTATAGATTTCGCGAAAACGTCGTTGTATTCCAGAAGGAGTTCCGTTCCTTGAGTTCATGCCTGTTCTTCTCGTTTGTGCTGCTCAGATGCTGTCTAACTTATGATCTTCCATTGTTATTTCTTCGCTCTCTGCATCTTTTTCTGCTTGCAACATGAAATTGTGTGAAAGATTTGTCTCTGATGCTGTTTCTGCGAAAAATGCCATTGTGGTTCCGGCGTATATAGCTACTGGGTTCCTTGTGTTTGATTGTACTTTTAAAATGAGACTACCTTCATTGGTGTGAATGTGCGTTTTTAGTTCAAGATGATTTTTTGCTAACTAGTCTAAATTATATTTGCATGTATACATAGTATTATCTTTAATATCACTAGGTTTGCCCATAATATCTAATTCCAATGTTTTTAACTCGTTCTGAGATACAGTGTAATCTTTTTTTGTACCCAATTTATATGTGTTTTTCTTCTTCCTGCTTTTCTTCTTTAACTTCATACCCAGGTTTTTCCCTATAAATGTGAATTTGGACCTCTTCAAATAAACTGCTGGACAAATGAAGCGGAACAAGCTAATTTTTAGTTTAACTTTGGATTAGAATATTACGCTAGCTTAAGAAGACATCAATGAGTGGTTTGCGTAATTTGGATGTTCATTTTCTCGAACCGCTCATTGATATATTTTCTAGTTCGACTAATATTGGAATTTGAAGTTAACCTAAAAATTCGTTTGTTCCGCTTCATTTGTCCAGCAGTTTAGAAAATATATCATCTGTTTAAATCTTGCCCATTCTTTTTCTAATCCCCATCCTTGTCTTGTATTGGTATGACTAATTTTTTGATGGATTTATTTTCTGAGATATTGTTCCTCAGTGCTGTAAAACATATATACATGTTTCTTGAACGCGGCTTCTCCTACATTGATTCTCTTGTGAATAGAAAACTTACTGATTTTTTTTCCTTGTTTTGACATAGATTGCTCCCCAATGGTCCCTTTCTCTCTGTTTTTTGGAATCATATGCCTATATTTTTTGAAAACTGATTTTTTTGATTTGTAGTTTTGGGTTACTCCTACAACTGAAACGGCGTCGTTCGTTAGGACGTCTATGTTTCCATATTCTTCTTTCAGGAGACCGTTAACCTGGTCATCTTTTATGTGAATGAGCTCTCTTACAAACTTGTTAAACTCCTGTTCATCTCTTGAAGTATCTAGTCTAAGCTCTCTCGTTTTAGTCGGCTGTTTTGTTGTGACCAGACCTGACATGTTGATTTTTTCGTAATTCATTTGTCTTAGGGGTATTTCATGCTGACCATTCAGAATCAGTTTTTTCCGTGGGAGATCTATGATCGCGTTATTTTTTGTCAAAAACTCCATGCCTAGGATTATTGGTTTAGTTAATGATGAAATCACTTTGGCGTTTAGTCTGCCCTTCCATTTTTGACTCCCTGGTATTTCTATCGGAACTTCAATGTTTCCCAAAACTTTTATCTGGTGTCCCCCTGCAGTGACTAGAACCGTGACATCATTTCTTGGTAGTTCCTCTTTGATTAGACTTCTTTGTAGAACGCTATCTTGTGCTCCTGTATCCACGATTGCTGACGTGTACTTATTATTTAATTTAATTGTGATGTGCAAGATTCCTATGTTATCATTCTTCCCTAGGGTAAGGATGGCAGGGGCTTTTAATTTTTCCATCCCTTCTTGTTTGGGTTTTGTCGTCGGGTTGTACAGGTGTTTGCATAGTGACCCTGTTTTCCACAAACAAAGCAACGATTGTTTCTGTTGTTTCGTGGCGTAAACGATTTGTTCCTTTGAGACTGGGTTCTGCATACTGTTGCAGTATGTCCTGTTTTCCCACAGTTGTAACAAACTGTGGCAATTTTTGAGTTGGAGTTATGATTTCTCATCTTTTGGCTCCTACATACAGCTGCGAAATGTCCTGCTTTCCCACAATTATAACACGTTTCGCTAGATATTGGTACTCTTGTGCTTGTATGTTCTCCTTGCATTCGGATCCTGCAGGTGGCCATTACATGTCCTCTTTTTCCACAATAATGACATGTCCTTAGTTCTTTGTCTGTGATTGTATTTCTTTCCGTACAGCTGGTAATTTGGGAATGAGGCAACTTTGCCTGTTTCTCCGCTGTCATAGCGTCAGTTATTGTGGTGTTCGCCATTGTATCCGGTTGTTCTACTTCCTCTTTTGATGGTTGCCTGGGTTTTGGTGCTTCTTGAAGGGTAAGGTCTGGTGGGCTACCAAAAACACTGTCTTCTTCGTAGCCTGTTTGATTATTTGCTTGGTTTGCTGGTAATCTGCTCTAAACTGATACTGGGCGACTCTGGTGGTGATCTTTCCTTGCGTTCGGTATTTTGCTCAAAGAGCAGAGCGTGCTGAGCGGAGCCGTAATCACGTGACTATCGAGTGAACAGAGCAGTTGAACGCTGTATAAAAGTGCCGGAAATTTTAATAAACGAACGCGAATGAGGCTGCACCGAGTACACTTTTTAAATAAACGAACGGTAAAGTCAAGCTCGGAGAACTCGGACCAAAATAACGAACGCACGGTTTGCAGTGATCTTCTCGGCAGAAAGAGCGCTTTTTCTGATTCAGTGCTCCTATAGGGTGGTCTAAATAATTCTACTGGTGTCGTTGCTGCTGCGTTCTTTGGCCTCAAATTGTATCTGGGTTTGCCTGGCATCTATTCTTGCCACGATGGCGACGGTAAACCTGTCACAATTTATTTTTCTATTGGCACTAGTTTTTAAATCTACGAGTCTTTTCTTCACCTTCGCCACGCTGTCGTGAATTTCTCTTGAGTGCTTTCGTCACAGTAGCGTTTGTCGACGTACCGCGTCGTGACGTGTTTGGGCGTTGACAGCTGCCCGCTTTACGGGGGTGACATGGGGGGTTTGTAGCTTTGGGGGTCGATGGAGAGAACTCGCTCAAGTTATGCAAAAGTGTAGATGTATATTTTACCAAATATGCCCTTACATGTACGCTAGTCCTATAAGATACATGACCCTTCGAACACTGGGGTCCTTATAGGGAGCCACACTCAACGCTGCTTGGGGGACTGTCGATTAGTTATCGTCACCCTTATGCCTTGTCCAGAGGGACTTTCCCAGCGAGAGGTAGTTGCACTGGACAACGATATGGCTGAAGATACCCAGAGGGGCTTTCCCAACGAGAGGTACTTGCACTGGGGAGACTTAATTCGAGAGGGGCTTTCCCAACGAGAGGTAGTTGCACTGGTTTAAGTCTGCCTGTTGCATGACTTGGCCAACTATTTATATCAATTTATTATTGAATCGCAATAAACATCCGATCGAATCGGCAATTAAATTAATAAAGTTGAATACCGGGTCCTCCTTTCCTAAGCACCTAGTTGACAATATTAAAGCTATTTTTATTTAAAATCATTCCTAACTATTAATTACTACTTTCATTAACGAAGAAAACTCCTATCGTCGGCCTCTATCAGAAGTGTATCCGTTCATCCGTTCCTTTTCGAGCCAAAAGACTTCTTTGCCTTGCAGCCCTCATTTTTCTTTTCATGAAAAGCCTTTTTCAGGAAGTTTGATATGTCTGTGTTGTCTTCAATGGATAAAACACGGATTACCTAAACTGGCAGGTGATTTGATGATTTTGGATTTCTCTACAAAATACGTCAGCATAGTGCTTTCCTATCCCTTCAAATGTACAGTACATTCTCAAGTACATCAATGACCAAATTTATCAATTGTGAGTTAGCAATGTCGATATTCTCTCTCTCTCTCGCTTCTTCTTCTTCCCACTTTTGGATGTTCTGAGCTAGTTGTTGCCAGTTCCCCAGCTTTTTTCCTTCGCACCATCGAACCTATCACCCAACTTATCAAAAACTAAAAAAAAACAAAATTTAATTCCAGGAAAAAAATTAGTAGGTACCTATATTATCAATATAAATACATACATTAGATATTTTTCACTAATTTAAAAACCCCCCATATAATACTTAACATCAATAGGTACCTACTTAAAAAAAATTATACCAACTGCAATTTTTAGGCAATAGTATTAGACGATAAGATTTTTTATTGCTTATCTTATCGATGACATTACTGATAAACTGTGTAAAGTAGGTAGTTCCTGGGATAGCTAAGTTCATCATAAAACCTGTCCAGTACTAAACAATAAATTAATCGTTACATTTATCAGTCATGGCACAAAGAGACGACAACAAACGAAAACAGTCAGTTTCAGATTTGGAACTGATCGAATTTAAGCCTCCCATCGACTTAATTCCAGACGAGTTTGTTAGAAGCAGCAACGAAAATGTTTTAGTCGAATTGATTTGTGCTGGTAACGATTCAGAAGCGCACTTGCTTGGAGATGTACTTAGTAATTATGGATTTAGTGTGTCCAAAACGGACAGGGACAAGGAGAAATTGGATATTATTAGGCCTGATGAAAAATGGATAAGCAACGGTAAGTTATGTTATCTAATGTTTGACTAATTTCAATAAAGTGCAACAAATAGTATTTTTGCTATGCAAGAAAATAGTAACATAATATACTCTAAATATTTGCAACAAATGTTGGTTTGAAATTGTTAAACTAACCTATGTTACAATCGATCCAAAACAAGAATTATTTGAAGTACAGTAGTTTCCTTGAAGCAATTATTTCATCTAGAATGCCCTGATAACTATGTCCTTTTATTTCTAAACAAACAATATCACTGTATCATTGTTTTATTTTATGCTCAATAAAATCAACATCAATATATCAGTATGGTACATCAAATGAGGTCTTCTTTTTAACGCAGAACCACAGTAATAAATTAATTTTAAGAAATTATCCTGATAATAGATATACCTACCGTTGGATAGCCAATTGAAACCGTATTCAAAAATTCTGATATTCAAGAGAAGAAATGCCTCTCTAGAAAACTTTTAGGAAAAGTTTTAGGAAAACTTTTTTCAAGCCAACAGATAGGTAGGTACTCTTACTGAATTACGCTAAATTTATTGCAACTGCATACATATTAGTTAAAGTTGACTTTGATAAGGTATATCTATATGGATAAACTTACCCATTGTTCTTCTTTTATCCGATCAATTTTAATCTAGTAACTATGCAATTAATAGACAAAGGAAATTCATTGGCAATTTATTTAGTTAAGTTCGTGGAAAATAGAAAAAAATGTAAGGTCGACTTGGTTAACTGGAACAGCGGGGTGACTGGGCCATATGCCAATTTTTAGCTTATTATTGAAATTTGAATTTCCCGCGTATGAAAATCCGTTACAAGTGTGTCTCATTTATACCCTGCATGTATTAGAAAGAACGCGGCCGGATTAGTTGAGTGAGAAAAAATAGAAATTTGTTACTATTACAAAGTGAATCATTACAACAAGTGAGAGGAGTGTGGATTTTAATCAATGGTAAGTGATTAAAGTGAATAATTTTGCACTGAGCATGTTTAACCGTAAGAAAATAATGTTGTCAAGGTAGGCCGGGTTTGTTTTGAGGTTAGAATTTCAATTAAGAGAAATAGAGCTGGGGTTCCAGTTGCCCCGGTAAAAAATACCTACAGAGGCAATTGGAACGTATATGACTTGGGTAACTGGAAAATATGTTCCAGTTACCTGAAATTAACATAGTATTGTGCATTTTTGTTTGTTCTAGAGCAAATATGGTCAGGAATTATATCCGTAAAACCTTCAAAGGTGCAGACGGTGGAAGATACACTAAGGATGCCCTGAAAAAAGCAGTTGAAGATGTTCAAAACGGTAACAGAACAATGTACGGTGCTGCCGTTTTCTATAACATCCCAAGATCCACAATAAGACACTTTGTATTTGGAACAAGAGGGAAAGGTATATTGTCGGTAGCAGGAAAAGGTGGTGGAGGAATATATGCACTGTCTAATGAAGTAGAAGAAGAACTGTCAACTGTGCTGAACACCATGCAGAAATGGGGATATGGATTATCAAAGGAGGAAGTGCTCGATTTAGTGCAAGCTTACTTGAAAAAAAATAGACTACCGAACAAATTTAAAGACGACCGGCCAGGGGACCAATGGTTTCTGAATTTTTGTGAAAGAAGAAAGTTGTCACTGAAGAAACCTCAAGGAGTAGAAGCTGCTAGACGAAAACAAGAGAATCCGTGGACAATTTTTGGCTTTTTTGATGTATTAGAAAAAACTTTCGAGGATCTTGATTTTCAGAATAAACCTGCACGCATTTTGAAATGGGACGAAACATCTTTTTCCAACGATCCTTCTAAAACAAAAATTCTTGGTAAAATTGGTGCCAAATGTACTCGCACTATTTCATCGTGTGGGAGAGAAAATACGACAGTTTTAGTGTGCTGCTCAGCTCAGTAATTTTTGGCCTGCCAAAAATTACCATTTCTTACGATTTTCAAGGGCAAAAATATAATTGAATCTATGATTCCAGAAAAAGCAGATGCTTTAGAAAAAACTGCTGTTGCTGCCTCCGACCGAGGTTGGATGACAGCTAAGATATTTTCGGGGTGGTTTAGAAAGTGCTTTCTTCCCAACATTCCACCAGAAAGACCAGTCCTCCTAGTTGTAGATGGACATGTTTCACATATATCCTGCGAGTTAATTAAAGAAGCTATGGAGAATGATATAGTTATTTTAAAATTACCCCCCCCCACTCGACTCACATCTTGCAACCTTTAGATGTGGGGGTATTTAGAGGAATGAAGGCAATGGGACAAAACCCTCTGCAAGTGGCAAAGACAGAACCCCCGAAAAAAACTTCCAAAACCAGACTTTCTTAGAATTCTTGGAGAAGAGTTTGCAAAAATGCCTGATGAAAATATAAGAAACGCTTTCAAAGCTACTGGCATATATAACCACGAATTGGGGGGCCCAGATCGTAAACAAATTTCGGAGGAGATTTTTTCACATTCCGATTTAGTAAAATACCAGAACAGGGACAAAAAGTTTGCCCCACAGGATAAAGATAAAGGTATTCCAAACTCTACTCCTGGTCAGACTGTTAATTACTCTGAAACCAAGCCAGGATCATCCCATCAAACCGAACCAATGCCAGGGCCTTCCGATAGCATCGAACCAATTCCAGGGCCTTCCCATCAAATTGAACCATTTCCAGAGCCTTCTCATCAAATTGAACCAATTCCAGGGCCTTCTCATCAAATTGAACCAATTCCAGGGCCTTCCAACAAACCAACTTCTTTCCAAAAGATTTTGGTTAGTCTGTTAGAAAACAGACAGAGGCAAAATGAGAGTTTACAGCCAAGAAGAAAAAGAATTTGTACCGGCACAGAAATTCTCACAACCGAAGATTATTTCAAACGCAAAGAAAAGGAGGAAGAAGAAAGAATACTGAAGGAAAGTAAGAAAAAAAAGATAAATACCAAAGAAAGCTTAAAAGTGAAAAAGGGGAATCACGTTTTAAAAGAAAAATCCAAAATCGATACTAAATTTAACAAAAGAAAAGAAAGATCCTCTTCAGAAAGTAGTGAGTCATCATCACATACATCTTTGGAAAAAGAATTAGAGGAAAACTATGTTGACGAAGAGTTCGATCTGATTGACGATGAGTTTCTATCTTTAGAAGATGAAGAACGTTTAGATGAAAACAGTGCTCCATTAGAATTGGAGGAAATTGAAGAAGCACCAGGGTTACGTGAAAAAAATAGATCGCAAGAGATACAAACAGAAAGTGTAATGGAAGACGAAATAGATTACAATCACATGCAAGTAGAAACCTCTGATTTTGTTCTTTGCAATTTTATTTATAATAAGGGAACAAAAAAAGAAACGCAAAAAGAATTTGTATGTAAAATAATTTCCAAAACCAATGAAGAATTACGTGTGTCTTGTCTACGGAAGAAGGAAAACTTCTATATTTTCCCAAATGTCCCTGACATAGTCATTTTGAAGCACAACGAATTCCAAAGAAAACTTCCAGCACCCATAGAAAAGAGAGGAAGATTTTTCTTCGGAGAAGTTTAAATTTTGCGTTTTTATACATACATCTTACTCGTTTAGATTATTTAGTAAGTACTTAATGGTTATTGTACTTACCGAGAGAATTGGACTTTAAGTTTAAGTATTTTTATTATCCGTTATTATTTTCTGTTCAAGAAACAAAAAAAATTGGTTTTTTATTTTGTTTTTCGTTCATTTTGTCATTTTTGATAAACGTTATTTTTTTACCACTTAGTACTACTTTTATTGATCTCCCATATTTCCCATAATTTTTGAGCAAAAAAAAAAAAAAATTGGTAGGATCTTTACATATACGTTATACTACATTCCAGTTACCTCAGAATTAGCACTATTTGAATGCAATGCAAAATAGGGGTCACTGTTTCAGTTGCCTCCAAAATTCGGGTAACTGGAACAGTTGACCAAAAAAAATAAAAAAATCTGTAAATCTGTGTAGGACATTCCAATATAAAATCTGCTTTTGCACAACATTAGCTAATCCTTCAAAGTAGTTTACCACAATTTTTCAAAATAATTCCTCTTAAAATGACTCCTCTGGAAATATATTTTTCCAGACCGTTGTAAAATTGCGTCCCAGTTAACCAAGTCGACCTTATGTAAAATCATTTTATTCTCTATTCATAAATTCCGAAACTCACGTTATCTCACCAACAATTGTTAAAGTCGAAAATGGCACGATTCCATTAGAAGTACATAACTGTACAAACGAATCCCTTACCTTTAATTATCATATCCATCAACTCGAAGACAATTGTGATATTTACGAAGAAGATAATTTTGAAATCTTTAACATAAAACGAATGTTAAATCTCCTACGAACTGTCCATATTTAAATAAAGAACTGAATGCTTTACAGCAACTAGTTATTTCCTTTCCAACGATATTTCATAAACCAGACGAAAAACTGTCATTTACCAATGGTAAAACACGAAATAAAGCCAGACGAGATTCCTGTTCACGTAAAAACTTATCGTTATCTCCACGTTCATAACCAGGAAGTCAATAAACAAATTAAAAAAATGATAAACGAAAATATTATTAGACCATCCTCAAGCCCTTGGTCATCCCCTGTGTGGATATTCCTCAAGAAATTAGACGCTTCAGGCAAACAAAAATGGCGAATGGTCATCGACTAGCGTAAATTGAACGAATAAACGATCGATAACAGATATCCATTGACAAATATATCTGCCATTCTGGACAAGCTTGGCAAAAGTCATTATTTCACAACCTTAGATCTAATTTCTGGTTTCCACCAAATGGAAATGCACCCAAGCTCAATTCCTAAAACTGCTTTTAACATAGAAAACGGACATTACAAATACCTATACACGCATGCCCTTTGGGTTAAAAGACGCCCCAGCCACTTTTCAAAGAGTGATGGACAATATTTTATCCGGACTACAAAACAAAATATGTTTAGTCTATATGGATGATGTCATTGTTACTCCAATTCTTTTCAAGAACACATAAAATTTAACCAAGAACCAAAAAAACTTTGAACCAAACTGCTTGGTCTAAAGATTTTATTGCTGCTTTATTCGAAGCAAATATTGAAATAAGTCAATCGCGAATTGTAACAAAGAAATTCCTAAAGAAATTTTTCTCGCGAAAACGAAGTAAATGCGGAATCTTGAATTTCGTAGGAACAGCACGAAAATCGCTGTACGGAACACTTGACGACGAAGAGGGTGCTAGATATGACTCATATATTCAAACGTTGAATAAAAATCAAGACTAATAATGAAAATTTGAAAGCTAACACAATAATATAAAATGACTTTACACTAATTTTTTTTCTATTCGTTAATTTTGCAGTGCAAACGAAAATTAAAGCCAAAGACTGCGATGGAATCATAATGATTTTTGCAAAAGTGGCCTATTCAAGTAGAGATATGAAGCTCATATGGAGTAAATTTACGACGAAACACTGTCCAGAACTGAAGAATAAACCAAAAATATTTATTTTCCAGGTAATTTAGTAATTGTATTGATTTTTTCATGATAGACCCATGTTTGGGCAATTTAATTTGAAAAAAGCTTGATTGTCGTATATTGTATAATCATTGACAAAGCCAAACTTATACTAAAAATAATAAATTAGTCACAATTCGTAAAAACGCACTTTAATATAAAAATAAATTAAGAAAAAGAGAAAAGTGTAGATAAAAGAAAAAATGAAAGTAGATACAAAATAAAAAACAAAAAAAGAAACCATATCAAACCGAATCATTCACAGTACAAATTATATAATTTTTCAGACTGTCAAAATAGTTGACTCCGATGTCGTGATGGTCTTACCACATGGGAGAACTGCGTATGACACACCTGCGGAAGCTGACTTACTTATCATTTATGATAGGTATGATGAAGGTAAGAAGCTTTTATTATGGAAATTCCTTCTCATTATATGTATTTCTTGGCTGAGCGTTCGCTAGTTATTTGCTCTTCTTGCTTTTGTCATTACTTATCACTTGCCCGATTTACTATATACCAACCATCCTTCATAAGCATACCTTTGACTCCAAAATTTACTTTCAATTAGACTGCACTTGTCACTTGTGCACAAATCTTACAATTATTACAAAAGATTTGTCGAAAAAAATGGAACATTCAGATTTTTTTTTCTATATAATTCCGCTAGCAGACGTTTAGCCACTTTAGTCATTAATATATCCTGTAAATCAAAGAGACAATATTATATCTCGAAGAGGCCTAATTTGAAATTGAAATGAAAAACACTCCAACTTTTGGGTCTCAAAAAGTAAAATACCTACACTTAAAGGCTGTTAATAAATACATACAATTTCATTATCATATCAACTTCGTTCGTTGGCATTTTCTGTTTCATTTCAATTTTTTCTGGGTATTTTCCTACCTAAAGTATATGAGGTACCAAATCTTTAAGTAGTTGAAGTGAAATTTGTGATGTTGAGAAGTGTTTCTTCTTCACAGATCGTGCGGATCTGCTGGACCAATTGAAATACTCTATCGAAAATTATGGCGATCAAGAAGACTTAATCACTCTAGCCAGCTTTGGTTATGGATACGACTATCAGCCATTGATTATTTCGACTATGACGCGAAAGTTTTTCGTCAAAATCCACATTTATAGAGGTCATCATTTGGAGTACTTTACCAAACACGAGTTAGTCAAGAGACATATTTCCAAATTAAAGGAATCTTCAGTGGAAAAACATCCGGAGAAAAATGAGACCAGTAGTATTTTTAGGTCAATAAAAAAGAAATTTAGTTTCAGGAAAAAGAGAGATGATCATAAAAGTGAAAGTAGCAGTAGATCATCAACGCTGAGTTATAGAGAAATTATGAAATCAGATCAAAACAATGTTAAAGAGAGTGCAACTGAAATTGAAAACCAAACAACAAATATTGAACAAAAACAAGAAACTTTGAAAGCAGCAACACCAATACTGAAAAGTCGCCCTCAAAAGCCAAGCACCAGTAAGGAAACCGAAATAAGAAAATCAAAAAGAGTTAGTACTGCTTCGAGTAATTCTGGTGATAGACCTGCATGGAAACCTTAACAATCCTAAATTATTATTTCTCTCTAATACGGCTGTGTACGAATGTTGAATATTGTACAGATGAAATTAAATATCTACGTTTAAATTACATTGTATATTTTTATTGTATGCAACTTGTTATTAGGCTTGTCAAAGATCCATTTGTCATCATGTAGAATTCAGTCACCTGTGTCAGTCACTTATCAAGTGAAAAGTTTCCAAAATGTTGCTTAACAGCTCATTGCTTAATTCTTCATCAATATTTGCAAACTGTTCCATCCCATAATATCTGCTATTTTTTCAAAATCAGCAATTCTCCTATAGTTTCTATTGGATTATCATCTTTTCTAATAAATTATCTGATATTGTTTTCCAACGTCTCAAGAAATTAAAGTAGTAGAGCCACTTTTTCCTGATCTAATTCTAGCTAACTGTTATATTTTGTCTTCTGTATCATCATCTTCGTAGGCTCGTCTTTTTCAGCTTGGTCATCTTGTGATTCTTCATTTCTTTCTTCGTGTTCAACAAACATTTCCGCATGCTAGACCAACTAATTCGAAACGAACGGATGCAAATTACATATCTCCAAAACTCTAGAAGTTACGACACGCCATAAAGCGGAGTCGCAGTGATAAATTATAGACAGTAATCGGATAATTAGTGAAACGCGAGTTGATAGTTGAGACAGTGAGTTGCGATTTAATTTTGTGACAACTTGAGCTTGATTGTAGTTAAAAGAAGTATTGTAATAGTGCTAAGTGTGGTCGTAATTTTTGTGATATTTGTTTTGAATAAAGGTAATCAATTGTTTAACTTTATAAAACCTTAATTTCGTCGTATTCTTGTGGTTTTTGTTCTAGAATCTTATACAAATTCTCTATAAAAACAAAGCTTCCCTGACCTCAATTGAAATAGATAGTTATTTAGATAATTGAACCGTGGCCCACTATTCTTAAAAATTATTTCTTATCTCGCTAATGCATTTGCTTTTCTTTTCTAAAACACAAAGTTGATTCATCATCCAATGATTAATCACACATACTTACATTGCGCGATTAATTATGATAGTGTGGTGATTCAGTATTAAAAAATAGAACAACAAACAATTTATCAAATAGAAACATGATAAAGTCAACAATATATGGAAGAAAACCTTAATATTAAAAAAATTCTAATTAGTTTTTTCCCTCCTAAATATTTTGATAATATATCATACCTGACAACAGTAGAAATCAATTAAATAAGTATTGACTATAATCATTATTATTTTTGGTTTGTTTCTTATGTTATTTCATAAAAATATTCACTGATCGCTTTTATCAAACCGTAAATCTAAATCGTACACACGAACTCTCGTATTATCTAGAGCCATTCGAATAAGTATAATAAAATTCTCAGAATAGACGCGCTATAGACGTAAACAACCGGATTCTTAGAATCTCACATGGCTGTCATTGCAAATTCGTAACAATATACTTTAGCCTCGCACCAAAAAAGTTAATTTTTTTTCTTATGTTATAGAAAATGCAAATGATCTAATGGCAATCCTCAGTGACAATATAGAGCTGTTTGGTAATCGTGAAGACATTGCAAGCTTGGTAAGCGTTGGATTTAGATTAACATGTCCGCCACTTATTTTATCAACAATGACAAGAAAATTTTTCCTTACCCTTAACGGACCTAGAGGGTATCACAATGACCTGTTGGAAAGGCTGGAACAAACCAAAGAGCATTTGGAAAAAATGCAAAAATCGAAAGCCCAAACAACACACAATACAAAATTCAAGTCTAGTAGAGGTAGTAGCTTTAGAAGCGTCTTTGATTTTATCAAAAACGTAGGCCATACCGACAGTGACAATTCCAAAGCTTCAGGATCTGGCCAGAGAAATACTAGCATAAAATCTATCAAATCTGATGGCGCAAAGGTGTCCAAATCAGATTTGGCGCCTGGTAACAAGTCACAGGAACAAACCACAAACAATAAAAAGGCAATTCCTACAGTACAAAAGAAAGACAGCGTGCGTTCACAAGCAGGAGGCACTAGTAGACCTTTAAACACGTCTAGTACAAGCTTGGCGAGCAATGGCTCTAAAAAAGCTACTAGTTCTACTAATAAAAAACCATGGAGGTAGAAAATTAAGTAAAAGTAAGATTTTAATAATAAAGATAGATTTTTGTATACAAAACTTTGAAATATTTTTTTTTACTCTTTCAAATATACTCCAGTATCATTAGAATGGTCCTTTCTTCTATACCTACCTATATACCAGCTGTAACACTGAGAAAAGTCCCAGGAGAAAATTCTTTGCTGGTTTTTTTTTAGCTGTTACAGTGGAAAATGTTTTAGAGGTAGCAATGTTATTTTGCTTCTACAGAAAAGACCACTTTGCTGAAACTACTTTATTGAAACTGCAAAGATATTTCTTATTCCAAAACCAAACTTTGCTGTTATAGCAAAATTAAAATTTTATGAAAATATTTCTGCTTCTCCGAAATAGAACTTTTCTAAGATAGATAGATACTTTACTGTTGCAGCAAAAAAAAATTCCTGTAATTTTTGTTATTGTTACAGTAATGTTTTTTGCTACCCTAGCCAAATAACTTAACTAAAAATACCGTTCGGACATTTCCGTGATTTCTTCGGGTCCAAAAATAACCGATAAAATATGTTTCGTGTTCATTTTCTTCCATTTTAGTTTAGTAGCTAACGCCGTACGGTGTGGAATAGTGTGGATCGTGGATGCTGTCGAGTCAAGTCGAGTGTCCGTCGCTGGGAATCTTTTTGGAAACGGTGCCAGCGCATCCATCAAAACTAGCAGAAACAACTCTAGCGCCAAACTTTTCATTAATTGACATTATTTCAGCTCAGGTAATGAAAGTTTAGGGGTTTAAATAGAGTTTGTTTATCTCCTGGTTTTGTTATCATGGACGCGCTACTACATATTTCCAAAGATTTCCAGCAAAATATTTTTGCTATTGGTGAGACAAATAACTTCCCATGGCTAATAAAACACTTGGCTGATTCTGGCAAGAAATTTTTTGTTCTGAGACAAACGCTTTCCTATTTCAGGAAGCATTTCTAATAACAACAACAAATATCTTTTCTGTCTTAGCAATCTACTTTTCAATAGCAAAAAAGGATGTTTTTGAGGGTATATAACCTCTTTTCTAGGACAGCATAGTTACTTTCCTACGACAGCAAAGTAGCTTTTCTATGCCAGCAAAGTGACCTTGTAGAAACTGTGAGTAAATTCTTTATAAAGTCACTTTGCTACCGCAAATAAACGGTGCCAGTAAAGTTATCTTTTCGGCGGTAGTAAAGATCTTGGCTGTCCCCTATGTAGCCAAAATTTTTGGCTACGGTAGCAGAAAAATTAGCTATGACAATGAAAAAATTTTCTCAGTGAAGAAGAGTTACCTAATCGTGTGGCTATTCGGTTCTCTGGATAGTTCTCCCAGCTCATATCAGTCGTCAGAATACAAATCCCAGCCATTTCTGTGATCCTTTTCTATCTAGTAGAAGCAGAGGCCATTTGCCTTTCTGATTTTGCTCTTATCATCTCTCTTGGTGGTAATCTTGGTTCTGGCGCCTATGCAGTGATATAAAATCTAGTCTCATCACCTTCCAGGGCGTGGAAAATTCCTGCTCCTTTAGCGCTTGTTGTGTTAAGATTACTATTACTGGCGCTTCTCTACCATTATTGGAATACCGTTAGAGGTCCTATCGGCTTTCAAGGATTCGTGTTATTTCCATTCAGTTTGGTATATTAAAATGGGACATACTCGGAAAAGAAACGTAGAAAAGAAAGGAGAATAATATCTTGCTATTCCAAGGAGAATACGATCACAACAATAATGATTAGGTACCTATCTCGAAAACTTATATTTTTATTATGATTATTACTGGGAATTCGTTTAATGAAAAAATACCATGCACTTTTTATCATTTTCCGATCAACTTGGTAGGTATATGCTTATCATTATCAATAATAGAAAGATATTTTTTTGATAAATTCCTTGAAATCGTTTTCAATCTTATCAGTTAATAAACTCATTTGCAATTGAAACGAATCACCAATCCACATTCCAGGAACTACCGAAATGAATAAACGTTTGAACATATCGGTTTTTGTATATATGTAAGTAGTACTTGAAATTCAAATTTCTTTTCAATTAAATTAATGTTCGAGGTGTTTTAGGAGAATAATCTTTTCAAAGTATATTTTTTATGGGGATAACCCCAGTGTTGCCTAGCTTTCTTTTGAATACACGAAGATAGGTCCGATTTATTCATCTTGATCTTAATTGACCTTTTCAATTTAAAAGCCTCTCTCTCTGGCATCAAACTGTCAGATGCCAAAAGAGTATGAAAACAATGGTTGACAGCCGTTGACAGTGGTTTGTAGACAATACTTTTGAAAAACACTATTATTTCCTCGGTTTTTTCAAGGTTTTTTTCCTAACAATGGTGATTCTTTGTAGTGTGCCTTTTCATAAAAATAATTCTTATTCACTGGCGGATGCGTCTTTCCATAAGTTTCCATCAAATTCTACATTTGTCAAAATTTGGATACACAAAATCAGAAAGGATACTCGCAAAAGAAAGGGAAATCCACGTTCAAGTTTAGTTTGCGGAAGCTGTTTGCTTCCAAAATAATTCATTACTGTCTTCATAGCGAAGTTCTGCGAATAAAGCAGTGACTTTTCCGACATTTTCTTCTCAATTTCAAACCCTGCGCAAATGTTACCGATGGATCCACCATTCTATGTCGGTCATAGTCATTTCCATTCACTTAACAAAGGTAACTAACTCATTGGTGAAGTCACCGATTCGAATAAAAATGAGGGGATTGCTACACCCAATACATATTGACATTGACAAGCAAGCAAATTTTGGCGGGAAAATGAATGTTTTCATACTTATCGTTCATCTCTTTTAATTGAAAACGTCAATTCGAATTGAGCGATGTGCCGGTGATAATTTTTTTTTTTGAAAATGGCTTTAAGCTTCAAGGGCTGCAGACATAGATCCCAAAGTAATTGGATCTGCATCCAATGCCATCCAAAGTCCTTTTCAAGAGCTGTCAATCGAAACTTAAAAAAGGATATAGGTACCTACATAGTTATTGTTAGGGATAATTTGATACTGTTCCCGTGTGTTCGGAGATAGCCAAGGATAATCTAAATTCGGAACCTAAGATCATTAATCACTTAACTGAGACCATCGAAGAGCATAATACTGAACTGCATAATAAGTCGAATCACATTGAAAGGATTGGACGTGAGAGGGAGATGTTTTTGGGAGAGGTGGAATCTTTAGTTTGAAGACGCTGTTACTGGACGAAAATGATGAGAAGGAGAATAATAGAGCTTTCCATCAGATCCCTTGACCACACAGCTCGAGCAACACCAAAATACCTTACTTCCTCTCATACTCAGGTGGATCCAGTTGTTTTGATGAAAACTATAAGTGATTCCTGTTGCCAGACTGATGAGAAGATTGCGGTACACTTTTCGACAGCGCCACACACGTCAGACGAACGACATGACTGATATTCTAGAACCATCGCTGCTACCTAACGGCCCATTTCAGTTCGTCTGGTTTGATAAGGGAGTTGTGAAGAGTGTTTGTTTTTGCAAATGTTATAGCTACCTCGAGCTCGTTGAGGATTTGCAAGATGACTTGGAGGACTAAGTTCAACTGATCTAAGACGTTCGGAATTAATTTTGTTCGCTTGTTTTTTTATAGTTTCTTCGTTGTGAATTATAAGGGAGATCGTGTGGTTGAAATTTTTCATTATTTTGGTGTTAAGATTCATCCGCTGATTCACTTGGGAGACGATGTTCTCTTGTCTATGTTGCAATGTTGCGGCGTCGTACCTTTGGGCGTCTTCGTGGTCCAGGTTTCCAGACATGATTTTAATAATACTGCCGAGTCCATTGAAAATTCTTCTTTGAATGAAGATTTTTAATATTCTTTTTATGTATTGTCGTGTCTTGAGTGTCAATGGTCACAATATTGTAGTGTTAACTGTCTTGGAAGAGAATCTTGGAAGTAGTTGGTTGCACTTGACAGTTTTCTTGGTGTAGATCTTCGTGCTAGGTTTGTAGGTGAGCGGGGTTTGCTTAGTTATGTTTCTTTTTCCTGTGTAATTTTCTTTGATGGATTCATGTAGCTTTCGATTCAATTTCCTGTAGATAGTCTCCGTTTTTTCCCGGTAATGCTGGGTATAATTATTTATAAGTGTTTTCCTGACGTCCAACTGTAGCATTTTCAATTTCTTGTTTATATGCTACTGTGTTTTGCTCTAGTAGATATGATTCTATATAGAACTACAATGAAATAAATGAATAAACAACTGTCTTTTCTGTGCCCAGATTTTGTTACCTTGATTACTGCCTTCTACTGAAAGTTTTTTGTGCAGGTTTGCAAGTTATGTTGATTGATCTAGGAAGGTTTGATTCAGTACGGCAGGGCCCGCTCTTATTGATTAGAATCTTAGGAAAAGGAGAGATCTTTTCATCATCTCTGTTTGCAAATCTAATTGATAAATAAATAATCTGAGGTTATGATAATAATTGTTGTTTACTTTTTGATTTTTCATTTCCATCATGTCATTGAACAGCTGTTTTGTCTAGGCGTTTTCTTTAGACCTGTTCTACTTTTTGATATATTGTTACGTCCAGATTTTGGTCGCAACGTCGTCCAAATACCAGACGAATAATCCGGGATTGGAAGGAATAAAAGGTCCAATTTAAAACAATAACAAATCGGGATTTATTAATAAATAATAGAAAAGAAAGTTTAACAAAAAAATTGAATAAATAAAATAAAACAAAATGAAATTTTGGAAATTAAAAATTGAAAGTTAAATCAGATTGCGATAAAATACAAATCGAAAGATTTTGGTTCGTACTTACATTATATGACTCAACATAATTTTGCACAACACTTTGTACTTTCTTGAAGTCTGCGAGGGTACTGTCCAAGCTTTAATTCGGTTTTTCGCCATCGAGTCTTTGATAAGTCAGCAAAATCAATTTTACCTTTGAAATAATTGAACTATCGTTTTGCGGACTCATCGAAGTTACAAAATTATAGTTATTGATTCATAACCGAAATTGTTTAATTTTACAAAAGGAAACGACTTGCAGTTTTGCGAAAAGTCAGTGAACTGAACTTTGAATAGAAAATTAAAATATTCAGTTTTTTTTATGAAAAATATTTCCTTTTGTAAATTATAAAAACTTTTTAGCGTGACATTACCCTCGGGCGTAAAAGAGCTGGACCCCAGCTCTAGATAAACCAAAGTATTACAGAGAATGGCTGAAGGTCCCTAAATCACATAGGCAAAAAAAAAAAAAAATAACCAAATGAAACAAAAATGAAATAAAAAAAATTAGAAAAAAAAAATTAATAAATCCCTAAAAATTAAATCTAATTAAAATACAAAAGAAATTAAAAGTAAAAAAAAATTCAAAACAACCTTGTCTTGTACACGTCGTTTTCTCGAGTCTCTGAGCCTTGATACGGCCCTGTCGGTCTGGTTTACTCCATTTTGCTGTTGCTGTTCTGTGTTTGCGTTTCGTCGTAAGTCGGAGTCGGCTGGCGCTGGCTTGGTTCGTCGCACTGATCGCTTGCAAATGATGCGCCATCTATGGGTTCGCCCGCCCAAGTCATTAGCTTGACCTGGCGGATGCTGGGAT